AAGTCCACACATCTTCAAGCTGCCAAGGTTGAGAAGCGGTGGTCCAAGCAGCAGCAGCCAAGCAGGGTCCCCACTACAGGAACAGGCCATTGTTGGAGGAGAGCTGTGTTTGTCTACGGTAGCCCAAAATCCGAAGGAGTCTGGTAGCATCTTTTCCAACTAACAAATTAGGGGTAGTTGAATCCATCTGATAAAGTGAGTTGCGGCTGGCGAAAGGACAGCAGCTTTATATAAAGGTGTTAGTCATCAGAAAAAGTGCTGCCAGACTCCCCTGGATTTTTGGCCACTGATGCGAAGGTGTCGAAACATTGCATGCTGCTTCTTGACCCGTTTCAAAGCTCAGGGGAGTTGGCTGGGATCTCAGCACTCAGTTTCTATGCATTTGTCTTGTGGCGGCTTTGCGGTTGTATGAAATTCCCTGAAAGCCACAGTCCCAAACATACTTTGTAGGTGTATCTGGATGTAGTAACACAGGCTCTGTGGGACACAGTGGAGTAAATCTGTAAGATTCCTCTGCAGATGTATACTCACACAAGCACGTAAGGTGTTTTTGTGGTTGGGTGACTGGTTCTGAGACAGGTAAAGAGCAAGTTTACAACTGCCACAAAATGTATTATTTTAAACTTACCTCTCTGACATTTGGAAATGATTGACACCTAGAAGTGACTCATGACTTGATGTAATAGATAACAGGCATCAAACATCTTCTCTGGCTACTGGTCTAGATTTATAATTGTCCAGCAGTTTCTTTACACGGGGCTGAATCCGATAGGCCCTGGAACCTCACGCAGTTCTCAAAGCTCCCCTTTGAAGCTGGGAAACACTTGAAAACAGTCGCTTTAACTGACCACAGCTAAAAATAAAAAATATTTGAAGCTAGCCCACACTTAGTCCTGCTTGCACTTCTGATTGCCCCCCTCCTTTTGCCCCCTCAGCCTCCTCCCATTCTTAAATGCACCCTTTGGTCATAGAAAAAGTGTGCTGGCCATAGAAAATTAAATAGGCACGTACTGAGCTTTACCAGCTACAATCACTAACTCATGTAACCTGCAATGATGATTTTTAAAAAACATGAGAACTTACTGGACTTTTTCTAACACTCAGTTTCACTTCATGTAGTGTTTAATGCAAAATGTTAACATGAGTGCTGTTGAGAAATAAACCTTAGATTGGAAATTAAGCCCACCGAAAGCTTTCCCTATTTCAGATACATATGATTGGACTGATGTTACTCAGAGGTGACAAAACCCAGTTAGCTGAGACAATCATGGCAGGGAAGTCCCTATATAGTCCTTGTCATCTTATCCAGGGTAGTTCTCAAAGTAAAGCAAACTAAATTTGCACCATAGGGTTGATGGATATTTGTACTATGTTTACACTATGTATGTATATGTGTATGCATATGTTCTACTCTCACTAAGCTTTCACAAGTTTAATATGGATCTGTCACAGGAATAAAGATGAACTCTGCAGAATTGGGCACTTCTGGCAGTTTCCATATTAATTCTGTTATAAATTCCACAGACTGGTAGATAAACAAATACAGTATATGCTCTGTCTTTCATGTATGCATGCATATACACACATTTTACCTCACAAGAAAAACAACTCCAAAATGCAAAGTTGTTACCACCTTTATAACTGCCAACCAAAATGTTGCAATAGCATGCATGCTTTCAAATTGGGTAATATTTTTATGCCTAATGGGTGTGGCACGAAGCCCATTTTCTATTATGAGATTAGGCTGCAGAGAACACCTTTACAATGCAGATCCATGTGGGCGTTACTCCAGAGAAAGTGTCGCTGTGCATTCTGGTGCCAGGCTAAGACAAGCTTTGCAAATCTCAATGAATCGGGTGTAACCAAACAAGCATTGTTGGCATACAGCTAAGACTTGGGGGCTGGAGATCAAAGGCACTTTCTGATGGAGTATAGTATATTGTACAGTGTATGAAGCAGACTTGAAATGACCTCTCAACGACCATCACCAGTGCCACATTTTTAAACCTTATCAAGATTGTCCACATTTTAAAACCAACCTCTTGAAATCCTTCAAGAGTTTTGATCACCAGCTGGAGGATCTACAGACATTTTTGTTGCAAAGCCAAAAAACGAATCCCATTTCACCCATGGCCAGCAATGTTGCTAGGGGCACATTCCTTCAGTGTCACTGTACAAAGACACTAGCCAGCATCCACAGGAACTGAGAGTAATTTGGGGGACTGCTTGCGACTCTGGCTACCCAGATGCCACTGAGCACTGCTGAAATGCAGCTGCCTCTGGGATGAGGTATTGTGCAACCTCCTTCCAGACTCAGGGCAAAGGCAGGTTAAAGTGATCCTCTCTACAGCCATTATATAAAATGTTTGTGGCATGCATGCATAGGCAAATCCTATGTTAAACTCTGCATTTGGTGACTGAAGGCAAGTGACCTATAAAAAGCCCTTATTATGTTCTCAAGAAAGCTGATCGTTAGTCCTCTGAATGGGCTCAAAGCCTTTCATTGTCTGGAGGAAATTCAACCAACCCAGACTTACTTCTCTAAACAAACATGCTCAGGTTGTCCATGGCATTTTGCAGTTTTCCGGTTGGAATAGACCATTTCTTCTTGTCAGCAATATGCGTGTGGGCCTGGGAGCTGGGGTTGGTGATGTTGCCAACTTTCCCCCCACAAGAGCCGAAACAGTACAGCTGTGTGCAGGGCCCGTGGCTCAGAATCTGGAAGCAACCAAGGAATGAAAACAAGCCAACCTGATACCCAAACTCTAGATGGCTGAGAAATGTGAAAACTTGCTACTGGTTCCTTGTTTCTTTTATAACCTTTGTGTGGCTTAAGTATTACTTTACTTGGCGTTTAATGCTGATAATTTTCCCAAGGAAAACAATCCAGCCCTTGGCAAATTGCCTGATCATTAATATAAATTTGTACAGTGGAGCTGAAATACACAGCTTGGTACCCCATGTTTATTCAAATTCAAGTCCTGATGCTGTCCATGCACGTTTACTCAGAAGTAGGTCTCATTAGTTTGGGTGGAGTTTACTCCCGTGTAAATATTCATAGCATTGCAACCTGAGATCAGTGTTGCTTATTGTCCAGTCAATCAACAGCAGATTAAAGAAACCAGATTGGAGGTTTAAGAGTGCAATTCCATGCAAGTATAAGAGGCCCCTGTGTTTTGATTTGGCCCTCGGGAGGTCCCTGGATATTGGCAAATTGGTTGCATGTTTAGATTTCTGACTTGTCCAGAGCTAATCTTTTCTTCTCCAAGGTACATCTCAGATATTCTTCCTGGCCCTTAGTAGCAATTTACTTGGAAATCTGTACAATACATGTGTTCAGTGATGCTTCTTCCTTTAGAAAGTAGCTTTTGAATTGGAGCCTTTGCCTTAATTCCAAGTGAAACTGGCATTCCCTCAACAGAAAATGTACAGGCAAAAAACACTGTCTTGGTATTCCCCAGACTGGCCCTTCTAAGACTCAAGAGGCCTGGGCAGAATGTTCATTTGAGACCTGCCTCAAGTTTCTTCAGACTGTCAATATACTTCTATTGCCATTTCTTTTTTTTCCTTTTTCTTTTTTGTCAATTGAAGTCAATGGTCCTGCAAACAGAAGTAGGTTACAAATCCAAAATATTGAAATAACTCTTGGGGATATATTTTAGCTGCCCTGAATGAAAGTTATTGATCCATCTAGTCATTTCAAATATTGAGCA